AGTCCCCTCCCTCTTTCCTTCTCCTGTATCGAGCTCAGACCGAGGAGGGGGTAACGTGTGTTTGGAGTGACGCTGGTGGAAAAGATCTCAGCAAACACATGGAAAAGGAGTTTTCAGAACTTGTACCTTGAGGGCTTTTGGGGGTTTCTCTGGAATCTCTGTGCATGGCATGAGCCGCACGGGTTTGCAGCGGCATAAGCTCTTGGTGCATTAAATCTTCCTTCTTGAGGCAGAAACACTTGTTCGCGTAACAAACGGGATAAGAGTTGAAAGGAATATTTGTTTTGGCAAGTTTTGGTTTTTTTAATCTAGGCTTGTGATTTGTATATGGGAGAACTTCTCGGGCAGTAGACAGGCGGACTCGATAAGGCACTTGTGATTTATTGTGGCGATATCTGAGCCCGATATTGCCATTTGCAAATGTATAGGAAGGGAAGTGTAAAGGAAGGGGGAAGGGAGATTCTGTCTTTTTTTTTTTTTTTTTTTTAAGAGAGATCCCATTTCCTGAACATGCTCCTGACAAAGTAAGAATATCAGATATTGATCGGGAAGCCTAAAACAGGCAAATCTTGTAGCAGCACTCGGCGGCACGGGGTGAAGCCAACAGCAGAGATGCTATCTCGCAGGTCATAGCTGCTGCCAGCAATTCGAGTGCCAAGCTGCTGCTTCCAACAAATGTGTCTCCAAAAGTCCTGATCTCGCCCCGCGGTGAAGCTGACTGTCCTTTGGGGCTCCTGCTTCGCACAGAGCTGCGAGGGCTGCAAAACTGGCACGAGGTTAGGGCAAGGCTTCAAGAGGATGGGTTGGCTTTTCCCGAGCGGGGAAGGTGAGGAAGGGGAGTCGCATCTCCCCAGACGTGCTGTGCATGCTCCTGTCTCGACTCTTGCCGTTGACAGCCTCCATGCTGTCCCCCCTGCTTTTCTTTCTGCCCTCCCACAGCACTTTTGCACTGAGGGTTCAGTTCAGGAGCGAACAACCTGTGCTAGCTCCCTGCCTCTCGCATGGCTGGACCAGGTGTCGCTGGGGAAGCAGGGCTGAGAAGCAGCCCTGATTTCTTAGGTCCTTTGAGGGGTGAAAAGTCCAGAAAACTCAGCAGAATTAATGGCACTGGTGCAGGTGTCGTGTGTGGGGATGCTGCCCATCCCCAGAACTGCCAGAGGGAAGAGAGGATGGGTGTCGATGCATATGGTTCGCATGTGACATCTCGAGAGCCTGCGTTTCCTGAAAGCCCTCCAACATCTGGTTTCTCCTCCCAGCCCTGGGGGTGGAGGGGAGGAGGGGAGAAGAAAAATCCCACCTTTTAACACAGTCTGAACATCGCCTCCATGAAAGCCCGTCTGATTTATTGCGGGTGCTGGAGCTCGTTCCAGCTTGAGGAGGTGCTGGAGACCAGCTCTTGCAGAGGTGGGCTGGAGGTTCGGCGGCAAGCCCGTTGCAACTCAGCGGTGATTTCCTATTTCTGTAGGAAGTTAAAGAGCTGAGCTAAAGAGGATAAAACCAAAAAGGTCACAGGAGATGTAAAGAACTTCTCCTCGACCCTCGGTGTGCCAGCCCTGGGAGAGAGTGAGGTTCCTGGTGGTACCACCTCAGCTGGTGGCCTCCACGTGCTAAGGGAACAGAGGATGGAGAGGGCTCGGGGATTTCAGCATCTCCCTCTTCTGCACCACACTGTGGGCATGGGGCCCTGCAAGGGATATCCCTGAGGGCAGCAGGCATGGGCGAACAGTTTTTGAGAGGGTTTAGAGGGCTCGATCCTGTCCTGGCATGGTGGGGCGTCACACCAGGAGCTGAGGAGAGCAAAGATGAGGTTGCAGAAGCGCCGTGCTGCCACCCTGAGAGTGCCTGAAGTGCCCCCCCAGCCCCGTGTATTGGGATGTGTGCTGCTGTTTTGCAAAGGGAAAAAATTGCATGGGCCATTCCTGGGAGCTAGTGGCCCAAAAACCCGTGGGACTGAGCTTGGAGGAGAAGTGACGCGGCGGGAGGGGGAGAAGAGAGGAGGAGTCCAGGCTTCAGCGCCTGTCCACAGCCGCTGTCTCGCAGGCAGAGTCCCTTTCCCGTGCTGGGGCTCAGCAGCGACCTTCAGGCTGGAGGCAAGGGAAACACAGCCTGGAGAGTCTCCCAAAACCTTCCCAAAATGACGGGAAAGGAGAAGGCCTGGGCACCCTTGAGTTGCCAGGGCTTCACGTGGTGCCAGCCAGCAGCGTGGCATCGCGCTGCGCTCCGGACAAAAGGTGGCTTGGGTTGACGGCCAATGTGGGTAGATGCTATTATTTAAAAACTCTCTCTTTGTCCCGTTGAGATGAGCAAACAAACCCTCTGCTCGTCCTCCTAAAGGTCATCGGAGGCGTTCCTGCTTTTGTTTTGAAAGCTGGATTGATGCCGAGGGGTGCACATCCCTCAAAGGAGGGGGGCGGGGAGGTGCCCGGAAAACGTAGGGAGGAAAATTAAAAATTGAAAGCGATTAACACCACACCTTCGTAACACTAAATAAATGGGAAGAGGGGGCAGTCGGCAGCCCCCCACCATGGCCGTGCCTCCTCTGCCCAGCGCGAACTCCCCGCGCC